TGTAAGGCAATAATATCAGCTTTGTACTTCCTGAGTATATCCGCCAAAGCGAACACTACGCCTATTATGTACAGCGTGCGTGCATTCCAGGTGCAGATTCGCAGATCGTGGTCCTTTATACGTTAGTAGGGGTCGTCAACATTAGGGGGGTTTGGTTTTCTTTTTCTTAGCTTTTTCATAGTAGGTTGGGTTTTCCGACATTGGGCAACTAACCCAACGCCTCAACCTATTTCTTTATAGTTCTTATGGGTGAACTCGCGGCACATATTAGCTCACTATTTCATCGGGTGATGATAATAGCTCCCCAGGTGGCATCGCGGGGAGGTCAGTGTCCACAATTGGCGTAGTACATACGCCAATATAATTGGTATCAATTTAAAGGCCAACAACTCCTCTTTTTTTCGGGCCTATGTGCTTCAGCAGTAAATCTATATGCCCTAGAATACAAATTTTGCCAATTTTCATACAAAAGTATTGGTCCATTTGACCCGCTAAATATTGACCCATTTTTATTAAAACAGGCATGCTTATTATTTGGTCCAATCCCCATCTCCATGCAAAAATTCGCGATGTTTAGATCATAATTGCGGCCTACCAGAAAATCACACAAAAATAAAATTTTTTGGTCTTTTTTACCCCTACATACTAATGACCTCTTGCGAGTTAGGTAATTAGGACCCGATTGACAGATTACAGCAATATAATTTTTAAACTTCGTTTAGTTCCTTCAATGAAAATTTCTTGCGGGATGGAGATAGAGTCCCATTTATAACCGGCATATGCGTTTCCGATCTTCCCCTCCAAAGAGTTGCAATATTTTCCACTCACACTCACATTTTCCTTTCAATTTGTTGACTTAATTTATGTTACACTCTACATACATTTTATATTGTTTATTGAATAAAATAATAATTTTGTCTCTTTCGATAAATTGAATTAAAGCAATATCTTAGGAGTGATTCAATAGAAAAACACTTAGAATTTCGCCTAAAAGTTTTAGATTCCATTTTTTTCTTTGGAAATAGTTTGTGAGGATGTTTACAGCGCACATATGTAAGAGCATCCTCAAAAAGCCATGAAAGGCTATCAAAATATTGCAAAAAAAATCCCTTCAAACAATTTTCATTTCACAAAAAGTGTCCTCCTACACACCATAAATGTCCAGCAAGACAAGATGGGCTTACAATAAAAAAAACCCATAAGGAACCTTAAGGATTATTTGATTTGGTTCTTTGCCAAAATTTTTAAATGATTGTTTATTTACCACTTACACCTTGGTAACCCACACAAAAATGGCTTCTTAACCGACATCATTAAAACATCAACAAACAAAGCTGAGAAAATACCATTTCAAAAAACGAATGGATGAAGAGATCAATTTACACCAACACAAATTGGCCAAATTGTCTAATTTCATAGCCATGACAGAAATGAAAAATAGCAAAAAGTAAACGAATGAATGAATGTATCCAAGCAAAAAGTCTTAGCCACCACATACCGTCCATGGCAAAAAAAAATTAGCAATCCCTTCAGACAAACCAAAAAAAGTGATAGCTATTATTAGATTTGTTCATGAATGTTATCATTTCAACAGCTTCGGCCAGTTTCATTTATGGCCAATGATGAGCAAAAATCCCCATGAAATGCTCTTGTCTGCCATAGTTTCAATCCGAATATTTCTTTTTTTCTTCACACTTTTTTGTTCTCCAACTTCCTTTCCAACTTTCTTTTCGTCTTATACCCCAAAGAATTGTTACAATTGTTGTTGTTCGTTTATTAGTTGCCTTTCTCTTCCACAACGGATGTCAGTAGCTATCTATGTTACGGAATGAAGAAGAAGAAAATGGAAAAAAAGGATTGAAATATTTCCACCCATGTCAAGAATGTTTTGGTAAAGTGCCAATTGGAATTTACTTCTTGGTTACATTGTCTTCTATTTTTTTTTTCTTTTTTGCGTTTAGACATCTGGCATTTGCAAAATGCAGAAAAAACGTATTAAGACAATACCGTACCGTAACAATAGGCCTGCCTCATTATCTGAAGGTTTGCGGATTGTTTAAAACCACTGATGTGTAACGTTAGCCGTGAAAGTGTTGCTTGTATACGATAATGATTATGTGTGTTGTTTTTTTTTCAGATTTCATTATATTTAATGTTTCGCAAAAATATGAACATTAATTTTAATGATGTGTAACATGCAAAAATAAATATTAATTTTGATGGAGCTGGATGTAAGATGGGGCTAGACCGCATTGATATATTTCGGGATAAGTAGAGAAGACTGTAGTTTTAAATTTCGCCACAAATTCTCATTATATACGATATATATATATATATATATATTTTAAAATACCATCTTTCCCAAATGTCTTACCTTTACAAGGTCAGATCTAAGTACATTTGAATGAAAATGCTCTAGAGAAGTCACACGTTTTTGTGGTCAATATATATCCAACCTCCCTAATCGGGTTTTCTTCGGTTTTTAAACGTCACAAGTCGCATTGAATCATTGTACGCTATAACGTACGTAAAAATTTTTAGTTTTTCGTTGTGCGACGCGCACCTGTTTGACGTCTGTGGCCTGGTGTGTGGATATTTTCCCAGTGTAATTTTGAACAGGATAACCTTATGTTCACAAGTCACATTGAACAATTGAAAATTATTATTTATATTGTTTTGTCTTTGTCTAGTATTTAAATTCAGTATTTTCGTTAAAATATAGTTAATATAAACAATCTAATATTGTACACCATGACGTATACGTACCGACAACCATAATACGCTCCAATAATTTTAAACAATCTAACTAATTGCCTTATTTTTTGCTTGTATTTCCTTGTTACACAATTTTTAAATTTTTAATAATTTTAATTTTTATAATTTTAATTTTTTTTAATAATTTTAATTTAATTTTTTTCTCAAGTCATGTTTCTAGGCTTTTTGTGTATACTTTTTCTAAAAAAATTGACGCTTTGTATTTGTCCCAGGAAAAATATTTCTAAAAATCCACATTCTGAAACAGTCCCTGAAAAGATAGTTCTAAACCAGTGAGCGGAACAGTATAGTCGGACGGGGCCGACCATAGGATATCCTACACAACTATCACGGAACTCTAACTTTCTGCTGATGTTTATTTCGAGCCTGGGCAATATTTCTGATATTTGCAACGCCTTGCCGATTAGAGATCAACAACACCTTTTCCTTACACTGACATATTTTCCAAATATTACTAATATTCAGTCCTTCTAATTACTTGGTCATATTCCCTTCACCGTGGGGGTTGTGTTGTGATGCTCGGCATTCAATTGTGACCTATAGATCGACTCGAAAAAAAAAAAACACAAAAAATTATGTTTTCGGTCCACTTCATTCCAAAATGATTATGTGATCATCACCGAAAATTATAGGCGCTGACCTTGACCATAACGTGAATCTCATGGAAAATTTCAAAGCGGTCAGCGCTCTAATTCCGCCCTCTAGTGTGGTAATTGGTTACTAAATAATATCTCAGTACGTATGCACCCGCAAATATTTATATGTAACTCCCACATCGGAATACATACGACCATATGATTGGTATCAACTGCTCTTGAACATACTATTAACTTCTCGGGTCTAGGACATTTAGGGGCAAATATATATAAGCCATAGAATACAAATTTTGTAATTTTTCACAAAAAATTCAGGATCCATTTGACTCGCTAAATATTGACCGATACTTATTCTGTGGCCCGATCAACTTCTCCATGCAAAAATTCGCGGAGCGAATAATATAAAGTTTTTGACAAAAACAAAGTTTTTGGTCCATTTCATCCCCTAAATATTAACAGATCTTTTCCAAAAAACAATAGGGGTCATCATTGGCCCGAACCCATCCTACATGCAAAATTTCGTGATGATTGGTCCATAACTGTGTGTGTATCATGTTTACAAATTATAATGGAGAGACGGACGGATACACATGTCTAGATCGACTCAGCTAGTCGAAATATGACGATCGGTATACTTAACAACATAGTTGTGTAGGGTATAAAAATCCAAGTCTTGTCTTAGTCGTAAATTTTTTTTTAAATCCGCGCCTTAGTCGAGAAAAAAATAAGTATAATAGTTAATATAATCAATCTAATATTGTACACCATGACGTATACGTACCGACAACCACAATACGCTCCAATGCCCACTGACTTAATTTTAAACAATCTAACCAATTTCCCGTATTTTTTTGCTTGTATTTCTCACAATTTTCAAAATATAAATTTTTTTCTCAAGTTATGTTTGTTTGTATGCTTTTTGTGTATACGTTTTCTATGCTTGCATGTTGGCGTTTTCCCCTGTATGTTTTCACCTTAGAAAAAATATATAAATTCGAAAAAAATAAAATAATAAAACTCCCAGTATTGAAATTGCTTTACGTTACAATTGAGAAGGAAGGAACTAGAACTAACGAGTAATTAAATTCAACAATTGAATATATTTTCTTTTTTACATTTCATGTTAATAATCATAATGGTTTTTGAACTATTGAAAAAACTCGAACAAAAAATTGGAATAATTAAAAATATGAAATCCCAAAAAACATTCACTTGAAAACGTTCAAATCTAAAATGCAAACAATGAATGCAATCCACAAAACGTCAATATGCCAAAATGCCTTTTTTCTTCTACCACCACGACCACCAAAACCCAAATAAAAAACTCAAATCCGAATGAAAATCAAATCAAACCGAAAAAAACAAATATTGGCAACAACTACAACAATCAAAACGTATTGAATGGACAAAAAAAAAAAACAATTCGCCATCACTTACTTTTCTTCTTGTCTTTCGCTATCTATCTTAATTGCTTTTTGCGCATCACATTCTCAAAAAAAAAAACCCACCCGAAAACCCAATTGAAATCGAAACAAAACAAAAAAAAATCAAAACGAAAACGCCAAATCAATTCAAATTCAAAACCCACCAAAAAACCAAAAACAACACCAACAAATACCCAAACTACAGAATGTCAATGTTCTTCTTCCGTTTGCATAATCTTCAGCGTGCTGAGGAGAGTAAGCGTAAAAAGCGTGCCGAACGCCAGCGTCAGCAGCAACGTCATCGTCGCGGTGCCAAAGTTTTTCGCTGTGTCAGTGATTCAGCGGGTCATTTGACATTAGCGCCCAGTCGTTTGTTCGAAAAGACACCCATGAGTCCATCAGATAGTCTAGACGAAATAGCTCTACAGATACCTAGGTAAGTGAAAATGTGGGAAAAACATGAATCTTTTTTTCCTCTCTCTTTTTAGGAATATTTACAGCTCGCGGTTTCCCAAAAGTGAAGTTGGAGTGGTGGCCACAAAAATTATTTTAAATTAATTGAATAACATAATTCGCTATTTGTTCTTATTTTTGAGAATTCTTTATTAACATCGATTTTCTTTTCTTCTCTTTCTAGGTAAGTTTATATTGTTGCCCTGCAACTGTATTTACATTCTCATCTATGTTTGTATTGAATTTAAATCGCCTCGGATCACAGAAATTTTGTAAGTAAATACAATTATTGTTATTATTTGCAAAATAGGTATACAAGCTAATGGACAGTGGGTTCAAAAATTACTATTTTATGTCCAAAAATGTAAAAAATATCAAGGACCGGCATGATGCCTTCTAAGCCACATTTTAGCAGAATATTTTATTGACAAAACCCTCATCATATAATTTGGAACTCATGAGAATTTTTTTTTTGTTAGAAAAAATGACGAACCCTTAGTTTTTTATATAGAAATTACATTCACAGGACTTTGGGACAGATTTTATATTTACAGAAAAGAATTGAAATATCCCGTATTTTTTTTTCTTTTAAAAAATAATATTGGATTTAAAAACAAAATATGTACTAATATTTTTTGAAAGGACAGATTTTTTCAGTAGAAAAAATTGCATGAATCTGAGTTTTTTGTTAATTTTTGAGGTCGATATTTATTTTCCTTGGTCTAATATAAATAGTTTTGTGGTGTACACTATGACGTATACATACCGATAACATTAAGGCGCTCTAATGTCCAGTGTAGTGCAATTTTGAATGCGATAAGGTTATTTCCTTTATTTGGTGATTGTATGTTTACATAAAAAACTTATAACCGATTTCTTTTATAGAATAAAAACTTTCAAGACCCTGAGACTGTTTATACCCTACACAACTATGTTGTCAGGATATTATAGCTTTGTGCAGCCCCAAAAGTTTGTAACGCCGCGAAATATTGGTCCTAGACCCACCTTTAAGTATACCGATTGTCATATCTCGACTAGCTGAGTCGATCTAGACATGTGTGTCCGTCCGTCTGTCCATTATAATTTGTAAACACGATATAGGCCACAGTTATGGGCCAATCTTCACGAAATTTTGCGTGTTGGATGGGTTCTGGTCCAAAGAAAAGGCATGCCTGTTTTGATAAAGATCGGTCAATATTTAGCGGGTCAAATGTACCCTGACTTTTGTGTGAAAATTGACAAAAATTGGATTCTATGGCGTATATATTTACTCCTAAAGGACATAGACCCGAGAAGTTGATACCACACTGGAGGGCGGAAATATAACACTGATCGATTTGATATTTTCCATGAGGTTCCAGTTATGGTCAAGGACAGCGCTTGTAATTTTCGGTGATAATCAGATAATAATTTTGGGATGAACTGGACCGAAAACTTAATTTTTTTGCAATTTTTCAAACCGATATATAGGCCACAGTTATAAGCCGATCATCACCATACAACCCATGCTGAAGTCAATCTGAACAAGCAATAAGAAGGGCTGTACTGAATATTAGTAATATGCGGAAAATATGTCAGTGTATGGAAGATGTGCTGTTGACCCCTAATTGGGCAAGTGGGTGCAAATGTCACGTAATATTTCCCAGGCTCGGAATAAAGTTCTTTAGAAAGTTAGAACTCCGTCGTAGTTGTGTGGGGTATCGTATGGTCGGCCCCGACCGACTATACTACTCCGCTCACTGTTTTTTCCTTTTGTGTAGAAAAAAAATCGTAGGACCCTGGAATTGTTTTTGTTAACGAAAAAAGGACCGTGTGACTGATTTATATACATTGGAACAAATTTGCAGGCACTCAGGACTGTTCGGTTGAAAAAAATCTTATACAGAAAGAAATCCTGATTTTGTCCTATAGAAAAAAAGTCGTAAGACCCTGATACCTAATTTTTTTCCAGGACTGTAGTTTTTCGTTAGAAAAAAATTCTCAGGACACCGTGACTGATTTTTTTATTAAACAAATTTGCAAAACCCCCAGCTTACTTTGTTCTAAGAAAAAATTCACAGGACCACAGGTATGTTTTTTTTCTATAGATCTCAGAACTGATTTATATCCATATAGAAAATGTGTAGGAACTTGATACTGATTTTTTTCTATAGGAAAAAATCCCAGGATTACAGGACTATAGTAAAAAATTCACAGGACGCTTGGACTGTTTTTTTCTATAGACAAAACTGCAGTACTCTAGCACACCAAGACCCCAGGACTATCTTTTTTCTATAGGAAAGTATGCACAGGGCCGCAGGACTGTCTCTTTTTCTATAGGAGATATTATGACTGACTTTTCTTCTTATTCTTAATAGAAAGCAAATTTGCTCTGCTTCCAACCACTGTTCGTTTTATCCTTTACAAAAACGTTTGTCGCCCATTTTCCATTAATTTGCTTATCGACGACATTATCTGGATTTTGTGTCGCACAAATAAATAAATAATTCGTAGAATTTATTATGGGTATTGGCTATTGGTTTCAAAGTATAATAAATTATTTGCATATTATTTGCAATTACAAAATTTCTTCTTATAATTGAGGACAATGCAAAGTGGGCACGTTGCTATGGAGAAATGTGCCCACCCTGTATTGTCCTCCTATAATTGAAATTTAATTATTAATTGAAAAAAGAAAGAACAACGAATATTTAATAATTGTTTTCAAAGAAAACTAATTTTAGAATCGATAATAAAGTCCAGTAATTATAACCATTAATTAATTTTATTATGGGGCAAATCGGAGAGATATAAAAATAAAAAACAAAACAGTTTTTTAAACCTGGGTCTGCAGCTTAAACAACCTGCTAGGAATGAATTACATATGAAATCCCTTAAAGTCAATATTTTATTAAATATTTATTAATCACAATTTAAATGAAATGCGCATTATATAAATTTAAAATCCAATCCAAAAAATCGTAACATCCCCCTCATCCGGCAGCACCAATTATTTTGTACTTTCCATGCAATTTGCTGCTTAACCATCTCCTGCTCCAGCATTGAGTGTAACAACTACGACACGAATTGCAACCGCAGTAGCTATGAAGATTAATATGCCAGGATATTCCATGTCGATTGCTTGAAATTTGAGGGACTTTTCAAAACGGTTGAAATGATTTGTAAATTGCCACAGCAAAAGTCACACAAGTCAAAATGGTAAACAAATATTTCATTTTCAAAAAAAAAAAAAATATTTTGAAATATTCAAAAGTAAAAATAATAATAAATTGAGTTTTAAACAAGGTGCACTATGATACAAGCTACCAAAAAATTCACCCAGTACTGTTTTTAAGTAAAAAATCTTAAATTCACGAGATAGCTTCGAAAAAAATCTATGGAGATTTATTGAAGCCATGAATGGGTCAGAAAACACTTCGAACCCATTTATACCATTTTGAACACAAAGATGGCTCAAAAAATATTCATAGAAATTCATTAGCCCAAAGATGACTCAAAAAAAATGTCTATAAAAAATTTATTGAACCCATTGAAGGTTCAGAAAGATTTCTACAGAAATCGCTTAATCTCAAAGATGGCTCAGAAATGTTTCTATAGAAATTTATTGGCACCATAAATGGCTCAGAAAAAATGCCTATAGAATGTTGTTGAGCCTAAGATGACTTAGAAATTTTTCTATTGTTTTTTTTTTTTGTGAACACCATAGGTGGATCAGGAAATATTCTATAGAAATTTATTAAGCTAAAAAAGTACTTCGAAAATTTATTGAGCCCCAAAAGAGGGCTCAGAAATTTCTCTAGAAATTTATTGAGCTCCATAGGGAAATCAGAAAACTTTTCTACAGAAATTTATTGAGTCGCACAGATGGCTCAGAAAATATTCTATAGAAATTTATTGAGCCCCATAGATGGCTCACAAAATACTATGAAAATTTATTGAGCTCCATAGGAAAATCTTAACAATTTCTCTAAAAATTTATTGAGCTCTATAGAAAAATCAGAAAATTTTCTACAGAAATTTATTGAACCCCTTAGATGGCTCAGAAAATGTTATACTGAAATTTATTGAGTCCCATAGATGGCTCAGAAAAAATTCTATAGAAATTTATTGAGCACCATACATGGCTCAGAAAATGTTCTACAGAAATTTATTGAGCTCCATAGGAAAATCAGAAAAAAATATCTGTAAATTTCTTGAGCTACATAAATGACTCAGAAAATTTTCCATAGAAATTTCTTGAGCCACATAGATTGCTCAAAAAATGTCTTGAATCACATAGATGGTTCAGAAAAATTTCTATAGAAATTTCTTGAGTCACAAAGATTTATTATTTATTATTTTATAGAAATTTATTGAACCCCGTAGAAAAATCAGAAAAATTTCGTTAGAAATTTATTTAGTCCTTAGATCAATGCTAAAAAATTTAATAGAATTTTTTGGAGCCCTTAGGTAGCTTAGGAGGACACAATAAATATCTAGAAAAGTCATTGAGGAACACCTTCCACGAAAAACGCATTCAGAGCACAGGCTGTCCCAGATATATTGATATGTATTTCTACATATCAATGTAATTCCAAATTCTTCGAAAATAAGTTTCGACATTGAATTTATAGCCGGCGAGTGTTACTGACATTGGTAGCAATTAGAGTACACAATTATATAGTGGATTGCTACTAACCGAATTGTTATTACACAACATTCATAACCCTTTTTATAGCCCTCACAAAATACCAAAACATTTCTTCTTTTGTACAAACTTCACGGGGAGTCCAAAATTCCAATTACATGAAATTTTAATGGAATTCTAGCAGTCGTCAAAATAAGCCTTCCCCCCAAAATATACTACTCATCTCAATGCATATTGCCAAGCTATGCGGTTCGGGGCTTTTATTTGATGTGTCAAATTTTGGTTGCAGCCACATTTGACTTTTGATTTTTCCTCTCAACAACCACAAAGTTTTGATAATAACAAAAGAGCTGAAG